CCACTGCAGAAGCCTTTGGACTACATCCCATATTTTCACTGCTTGCTGATTAAGCAACTGCATCTGACAGAGCTTTTCTGTCTTTTCTAGCTGTTCTGAAAAATCCTTATAACCAAATGGGAAGCAGGTGTTTGGGTTACATATTGGAAACAAATCTCAACAGCCAGAGGAGCCAGATGTATCAGATGCTTGTGAGCAGATGAAAACATGATAATATTGGAGATTTAGGCAATCAGCTGTGAACCACATCCCATTTTTCTAAAATATATATATTTCTTTGTGTGTCAGAATTGTTACCTTCCCCATTGAATCCTCTTACTACAAAAACATAGGCTTTAAGCTGCACTTACACAGAAGCTAGCACACAGTGTGAGTGGGATGTTACCTTACTGTTTGCTTTCCTTTCTCCCTCTCAGGATTTTCCTTAAGGAGATAGAAAATTGTATTGAAAACCCTGAGCTTCTTGCCCGATGTTTTTTGAAAAGAGTAAGTAAATCCTTTTGCAGGTTTGTATTAATATCTATGGTCTTATCTTACAGTACTTACAGATTTACTCCTATCCTTTCACTCTGATTGCTTTTGTGAATGAGGGGAACTCATATAAGCAGATATTCCCAAATTAAGCCACCATTAACAAGTGCGTATTCTGAAATGTGAACCTTTACCTGGTTTACTGACAGGAAGAGATCTGTTACCAGTGTTTTACCAATGTATTTTAAGCCCTGGTTAAAAAAAAATCAGTGATCCGTATGTTTGACATGCTTTTCATATCAGACAAATCTATACCAGCAGTCTGATGTATCCCAGACACTACCCTACTGTAAATAAGCAGAGAACAGTATCACAGAAGATTGCTCTGAGTGCAGACAGTACATCCTGTTCCTGCCTTATCTTATCTCTCTTTTCTCTGCACCATTCAGGAGACTTACTCCCCTAGAACCGGTCCAGCAGAGTCTACCACCCTCCTTGCGTGGTGAAACTTCACCAGCTCCCTAAGACTCTGTGAGGTTGATTCCTTTACTTGTTCACATAATTCAACAACCAGGTGGGATTCTCTCCACTTGTATGAAGTGGTGAGGGTTAGCTGTTTGCTTAAAAGTAGAGTGAGCTCAGTTTATGAGAAAGCCCAAAGCCAACAGGCAGTGGTGGTCAGATGCATGTGTCTTCACTTCCTGTGGCTTTCAGTGCCTGAGTTCTGCAACTCTCTCCTCCAAGAGCTCCAAGTCATGTCCCTCCCCCTCTCCTTCCCCCCCCAACCCCCCAATTGGCATGACTTAGTTCTGTTTCCTGTAACAGAACAAAAGGTGCTTGTTTATACACTCATTCAGAGGCCCTACTAATAAGAAAAAGCCTGTTTTGGTGGGTTGCTACCGTTTTCATAGTCTGACAAAACTGCTTGAATAAGATCCTGTGTTTTGCATGGGAAATGGAAGAGGCATAAGAAATGGGAAAATCTGTCCTCTTCTCTGTAGTCAAAGGTGCCTCCTGCTTCCACTGTATACTTGTCCTGGTTTCGGCTGGGGTAGAGTTAATTTTCTTCCTAGTAGCTGGTATAGTGCTGTGTTTTGGATTTAGCATGAGAATAATGTGATAACACACTGATGTTTTAGTTGTTGCTAAGCAGTGTTTATACTAAGTCAAGGACTTTTCAGCTTCCCATGCTCTTCCAGCGGGGAGGTGCACAAGAGCTGGGCGGGGGCACAGCCAGGACAGCTGACCCCAACTGGCCAAAGGGATATTCCATACCACAGGACATGATGCTCAGTATATAAGCTGGGGGGAGTTGGCCAGCGGGCAGTGATCGCTGCTCGGGGACTGGCTGGGCGTCGGTCAGGAGGTGGTAAATGGTTGCACCACTTGTTTTTCCTGGGTTTTGGTCCTCTCTCTCTTGTCACTTTCCTTTTCATTATAATTTTGTTTTTATTATTTTATTTTCTTTTATTTCAATTATTAAACTGGTCCTATCTCAACCCATTAGTTTTTCTTACTTTTGCTCTTCTGATTCTCTCCCCCATCCCACCGGGAGGTGGTGAGCGAGCGGCTGTGTGGGGCTTAGCTGCCGACTGGGGTTAAAACCACGACAATACTGCATCTAGCATTTGCTGCTTTTCCAGGGTACATGTTGAATCTTCTTTTTTTTGACAAGGAGCTGTATGAAATGCAGACAGATTTGGATGAAAGACACATACCCCAGTTGTCAGAGGTGTTGAGCACTGCCACATCTCTAAGATTTCAATGGGAATTATGAACACGTGATACTTCCAAAGGGTAGGCCCCCAATTTACAAACAGGTCAGGCTGAAGAGCATCATATGAGTATAAATGTGATTATAAGTCCGCTGTATTATTTTCTGTTTAACAGTGAAGCTTTTAGAGCTTGAGTAAATTACACTACTAAAGAAAATGTTGTTATCCTAAGATTCAGATGCTGAGCAGGAAAATATTGTGGTGAAATCATTATGCAAATAGGATAAACAATCTTTGAAGAATGCAAACCTTTGAAATCCAAGAAGCATAAAATAGTCTGTATGTTGCAGATGTCCCTGAATTTGGAGCTAAAGAGAAATTCTTGATACAGAATTGATCCTGTAATTCTGCAGAAAGTTCAAATTCCATGTTTAAATATTGTAGCTTATGTCTCTCTGTAAAAACAGTTGTTGAGCCCAGTTCTCCTCACTATTCTACCAATATGAAATCAGCAGCACTAAAGCTATGGTTCAGGTGTGAAGTGAAAGAAAATCAGTCCCTCTGTCACCTTTGCTTATCAGTTTCTATGGCCTAGTCAAACAACACTAAATCTATTGAATAAGAGGTTAAATCACGCATTTGCTTTCTCCCTATTTCAAATTTCGCGCTAAGAAAGCAAAAGCCTCTCTCCTGAGATGTCTCTGCTCACACAGTAGCACCTTTGATTCAAGAACTTGCCCTTATGTTCTGTTTTTAGAAGAAGCCACATAAAGTCCAGAAACTTGTTGTTTCTGTTGGACTGCCTTTAGGAGGCACAAACAAAAGCCTGGTTGTGTGTTTGTGTTCCCCATGATTTGGCAGCTTTTTA